TATAATCTCATAATAAAATGTAAATAGAAAAAGACAGAGCTTACTATACATTATAAACTAAAGGGAAATGTAGTTCCCTAATTACCTATTGTTGAGACAGTAAAAGGAGAGACAGAAGTCATCATTCATTTTCACACAACAATAATGAAAATTATACTTGTCCAAATCTAGGATCTATAAAACTGATAAAAACTTTCTCCTGTAAACTTATCGATTTGGGGAGCAAGGTAAGAGATATTAGGAAAAATATTTTGTCTCTCTCTATGAGTGCAGAAGCCAGTCTTCTTGTGAACACCACCACATCCACAATGCTTATTTCCTGGTAATATGCCTTTGCTGAATGAATAAAGTAACAAAAGAAAAGAAGAAATAAGTGAGGGAGTGAGTGAAGATGGGAGATAAAGCAGAGAATGGCAGGAAGATGTAGTAGAAAATTATCTGAGCTTCTTCCACTAAGAGCGCGTATTAAACTCGAAGTGCATGAACCATCTGCCGCTTGGCTCAGGTTTTATTTTGGAGACAAACACAAACCAAGGGCAGTGGTTTATTTCTTTATCTTTCTTTGGCTCTTGCATAAGTGTGTCTCATTAGTGTTAAATGCTGACCTGTGTCATTCCCGTTGCTGGAGTTTGAGAGCACCTGCACTCAGGCTGACCCCACAATAGGATGCCAAGGCATTAACTGACATATTGGTAAGACCCTTGTCATTATTGAAATTCTCTGCAGGAGTCATTATTGTTTCTGGGAGGATAAATAAGTAAGGCTCTACATGAAAAACCCTACCAGTGCATGTTCTATTTATTAACAATGCATCCATTCAATATTTACCAATCCTTCACCATATGCTAAGCACTGTATAACCCTGAAAACGCTTATTTAGCATAGAAAATCAATGACCCCCCAGGCTAGCTTTGCAAGTTATACTCTCTATACTTCCAAAGAACTCAATTTCTAAAAATTCATATGATACATCACTATTATTACCACTAATCATAGTAACATTACATTACAGTGTGTGTCAGTCAGAAACTATCAAGTAGTCTACACAGACGGAAACAGTTTAAATAATTAATTTATACTCTACAAATATGTACATATATATTTTTACATATGAAACTGTTTTTTGCCGATAAATTTATATTACATTTGTTTTCCACCAAAATTAATATACCTAAAAGTCCTGGTGTGGCACTATAGGATAAGTACTAGAATGTTAACTGATAAATCGGTGGTTCAAACCCACCAGTTGCTCCTTAGAAACCCTATACAGGGTCTCTATGAGTTGGAATCAACTTAAAGGCACTTAACAACAATTAACAAGTTATTGATGTACAGAACGCTTCACAAAATGAGTATGTTGCAAGGACCCTGTCATTATGGCAAGTATAGTTAACATTTTTGGCAAATCAATTTGCTAGAAATACTAGTAATTTGCAACATAATGTCTATACAAATGAGAAAAGAACCTCTCAGTTAAAACAAAATGAAGAAAATAAATTAATTCCAATGTGATTCTGAGCAAATTATCATTAGAAGTTATCTTTTCATACCCACTTCCAGATTATAGAATGTCTTTCTAAGCCACCTGAGCAGGTATTTTAGGAATTTATTGCATATTTTCTATACTATATGGCTCCATCAAGACAAGACAAAAGATAGTATGAAATACAAATAGGGTTAAAGATAATTCACTATTAACTTTTTATAAATGTGGCATTTATGGAACAGGAATAATTTGTTCCTCTGGTTTAATCATGTGGAAAATACTTAAATGGGAATAATTAGAGAAAAGTAATTATTCTGACAAAATGTTCATGACATTTTTAAGATCCAGTCAATACATTCTTTAGGTTCCACAGTTTTCAAACTCAAATAAACCAATCCATTGCTGTTGAGTTGATTCTGACTCTTGGCAAACCCATGTGTGCATAGTAAAAGTGCTTCAAAGGATTTTCAAGGCTGTGGCCTTTCAAAAGCAAATTGTCAGGCCTGTCTTCTGAGGTGGTTTTGAATTGTTAACCTCTTGGTTAGTAATTGAATACTTAACCATTTGAGCCACCAGGAACTCCATTCAAACTCAGTTTATTCACAGTATGGCTATACTATTTCTGCTATTTCCCCATTGTGTCATTCTTACCTTCTGAGGAAGTTTCTGTACTGTTCATCTCTAGCTTGAGCTGTCCTTCTCATTATATTCTGGAATACCTCTCGATCTAGTGCCCAAGTTTTAACATTGGTAATAGCTTTGGAAAGATAAAGATAATAATAAAACTTTTATTTAGTTACAATTTTAAAAAAATAATCCAACATACAACAGTATGCTAATAAATCACTTTGCTATAGATTCTCAAAAAAATATTACTTAGAAAATGCATTATTTAAACATACCAAAGAAAGAAAATACCTATATAAGTAATGAATATTTTATAAAATCTTTTTGACTTTGAGATGCACCATGTAAGTGAGTAGCAAAAGATTCCCTTTGTAATTATGTTTTGCTTAGGATGATAAAATTAGTTCGCAGTTCCAATTGTACACTTCATCATGAGGATATATTTCAGGTCTGTGCTGTGAACAAGGGAAATCCAGTCAGTCACCCATTAGCTAGTCCCAAGAGTAAAGGTTTCACAAGCAGATAGTTAAAAGGTAAATATCTCTGTCTATCTGTGTGTGTTTCTTTGTGTCTTTGTATGTTGCTATTGGTAAAGACAGCTAATCTAAAAGATCTCTGACATTCCTTTGAAGTAACATGTGCACAAATGATTTTCAATAACATGGACGAATTTCTTAAGGTTTTTTGTATTTTGTTTTTGTTTTTTTTAATGAGAGACTTCAAGGTAAGCATAATGTCAGAAAAGGAAGAGAAATACCAGCTCAAAAAAGAGCTAGATAAAATGATAGTTGTAAGATTAAAAACAGGAGTCAGGAGAATCAAATAAATCCACCCAAACTAAAAGCTTTGGTTTACCATATTTTAGAGAAAATGAGAATTGTCTTGACTTTTTAGCTAAAAATATTGATCCCTGGATCCCTTACCCAATCCCAAACACAGAGAAACTTCACATCTAAATAACTCATAAGAAAACCCAAAACAAATATTCTTGTCATTGTCTGTAAATAAAGTCAAGTTGGAGCAATTAAATTAATCCCAAAAGTCATTCATAAGAACACCATTAAGTGAATTTGATCCTTTGGTAACTATAGATTTTTATTAGTTGAATTAACTGTTCTGGCTTATAATATATCTAGATCATTGTGAAGAACAGATAACAAAATATTCTAGAAGAGTCCAACTCAGAGGTCTAAATAGTAATAAAGTAGTCATTAAAAGAAAGTATTAGAACCATTCAGTTTAAAGAAATGTTTGTATTTTATATATAAGTATCCGATGAAAACGTTCTTTGAAACTAAGATCCTTCATTAGTTTCATATGCTATCCTTTTACAGGCATAGCATTTCTGTTGATCAGGGCATACCAGGCAAAATAGGATACAAAATGATTCTAAATAAGGATATAACAGCGACTTAATTAGATTAATTTTAAATTTGTGAAATATACAGCATTTCATCTCCAGTTACCTTTCACAGAGGCAGTCCTTGTACAGTTGTATAAAATGGCTAATTCCCCAAACGTGGTCCACATAGGGATAGAGGACAGTAACTTCTCTCCTTGGAACACCTCTATTCGACCCTCTAGCAAGCAGAATTAAAAACACACACACACATAACCAAAATGTATCTGACACTCACAAATTAGTAAAATATAGCAACAATAAAACAAGAAAAATGCACACAAAACACACAGGTAAGATATCTCAGGCTTCTCATTACAATTTGTTGTTGTTCAGTGCCCTGAGTCACTTCCGACTCATAGACATCCTGTGTGTATGTGGTTTCCAAGGAGCGGCTCCAATAGAGTGGTTTAAAGTGCAGACTTAAAACAGCTCTACCACTTACCCAGCTGTACTTGGATGGCCTTGAGGAGATGAACCTTTGTGCCTGCGGCTTCTCACTGATAAATGGCGATAGTGACAATAACTACTTTATTCAACTGTTTTGAGAATGCCATGATTTGATACACATAAACAATCAAGAATGAAGTCTAGCATGTTGTTGTTGTTGCATGCTAACAAGTCAATTCTGACTCCGCAACTCTATAGGACAGAGTAGAACTGCCCCATAGGCTATTCAATGGTATAAAGATGTAAAGGAGTCCTGGTATGGCATTATGGGTTAATGTGCTGGACTGTAAGGTCACTTTGAGCCCCAAGGTCAGTTTGAACTACAAGGATGGAGGTGCAAGCTCACCAACTGCTCCAAAAGAAGCCCTATATGAGGTTACTATGAGTCAGAACTGACTCAACGGATTTAGTGACATCAGTATCAAAGACATGACAGTGTACTTATGTGAAGATTTCCAGTCTTTAAAATCCTATGGAGCAATTCTACTCCATAGCTGGTATCAGTCAGAATCCACTCAACAGAAATGGATTTAATTTTTACAGGAGAGATCAGTAGGTCTTTATTATTGCATAGCGCTGGTAGGTTCAAACCACTGATTTTTTTTTAAGGTTTTCATTGTGGATTGAGTAAAAGTTTACAGGGTAGATCATCAGTTTTACATTCAACAAATCATACACCTTGTTTCAGCACGATTATAATCCTCTCCATGTACCATCCGTCAGTTACCAGTGTTTTGCTCTATTCAATTTAGCTTTTTTTTTTTTTTTTTTTAACACTCAGGCATATATAATAATTTATGCCACCAAAGGGCACATTCTGCATATCTGCCTCCTGGCCACCACCTCTTAATACCTCTATTCCCATGAATCTAGAGTCCTCAGCAGCTCCCTCTCTCCATGTTCCCATCTCTACCTCCATCTCTGGTGTCACTGCTTCTCTGGATAAGGTCTCGCATTCTACTTGTGCTCTATTCCCTTGATGGTCCTAGGAGCCTGTTTCTGGACTGTCAGATTAACTCCTCCCCTGTTTTTTGTTACATAACTGCTATCTTTACGATTGTGACAGTCGCAATTAGTCACGATAGCAATTACTCATTACTGAATCATAAGAATCTTATCCCCATTTCTTTTAAACAGACCCATCTAGACAAGATGAAAACTATTCAGCAGGGACTCTATCTTCCACCTCACACTATTAAACTAAGTTCCCTCTTGAAACCTTGTAAGCCAGTCACTTCGTGCCTTTATCACCCCCTGATTTTAGGTAGCCAGTTTCTAAGTTGCTCATCCCTATCTACTCTGTGTACAGAGGGAATAGCATTGGTAGTTGATGTGAAGACTCCTTCTCTCTATGTTGGTATTTAGAGTTACTACATCCATGAATAAAGGTCAAGTGCATCAAAATGTAGCAATTTACCCTTGTTTCCTTCATAAAAAATTGTTTTGTTCTTTTTTTTTTTTTTAAATATTCCTTTAGTCAAGTTCTCTGCTATTCATAAGGTTTTCAGTGAATAAATATTCAGAAGTACTTCTTCCTAGTCTGTCTTCCTCTGGAAGCTCATCAAAAATCTGTCAACGATGGGTGACTCGGCTGGTATTTAAAATGCCGGTGGCAAATGGACCTCACCAGATGGAATACATAGAAATCAAATTGACTACATCTGTGGAAAGAGACAATAGAAAAGTTCCATATCATCAGTGAAAACAAGGCCAAGGGCAGACTGTGGAACAGACCATCAATTACTCGTATGCAAATTCAAAATGAAGCTGAAGAAAATGAAAACAAGTCCACGAGAGCCAAAATATGACCCTGAATATATGCCACCTGAATTTAGAGATCATCTGAAGAACAGTTTTGATACATTAAACACTAAAGACCGAAGACCAGAAGAGTTGTGGGATGACATCAAGAACATCGTACATGAAGAAAGCAAAAAGCCATTTTTAAAACAATAAAGAAAGAAAATGTCAAAATGCATGTCAGAACAGACATAGAAACTTGCTCTTCAGTATAGAGATGCTAAAGCAAATGGAAGAAATGAGCAGGTCCAAGAGCTGAACAGAAAATCTCAAAGATCAACTCGAGAAGATAAAGCCAAATATTACAACAAAATGTGCAAAGATCTGGAATCAGAAAACCAAACAGGAAGAACATGCTCAGCATTTCTCAAGCTGGGGAACTGAAGAAAAAATGCAAGCCTCGCCTTTCATTATTAAAAGATTCTCTGGGCAAACTACTGAATGATGCAGAAAGCATCAAGAGAAGATGGAAGGAATACAGAGTCACTGTACCAAAAGGAAATGGTTAATGTTCAACCATTTCAAGAGGTAGCATATGATCAAGAGCAAATGATAATGAAGGAGAAAGCCCAAGGTGCATTGAAGGAATTGGCAAAGAACAAGGCACCAGGAGTTGATGGAATAAAAACTGAAATCTTTCAAGAAAGTGATGTGGCACAGGAGGCACTCAGTCATCTCTGTCAAAAAATTTGGAAGACGACTATCTGGCCGACTGATTTGAAGAGATCAATATTTGTGCCTATTCCAAAGAGAGGTGACTCAATGGAATGCAGAAATCATTGAATAATCTCTTTGATAGCCCATGCGAGTAAAGTTTTCCTAAAGGTAATACAGAAATGGCTACAATCATACATTGACAGAGAACTTCCAGAAGTTCAAGCTGGACTCAGAAGAGGCCGTGGAATGAGAGATATCATTGCTGATGTCCGATGATGGATCTTGGCTGAAAGCAGAGAATATCAGAAAGATGTTTACCTGTGCTTTATTGACTACGCAAAGGCTTTCAATTGTGTGGATCATAATAAGCTATTGAAGTATGAGTATTCCAGAACACTTAATTGTGCTCATGAGGAATCTGTACCTGGACCAAGAAACAGTTTGTTTGAATAGAACATGGGAACACTGAATGGTTTAAGATTAAGAAAAGTGTGCGACAAGGTTGTATTCTTTCACCATACTTATTCAACCTGTATGCCGAGCAAATAATCCGAGAAGCTGGGTTCTATGAAGAAAAACATGGCATCAGGATTGGAGGAAGACTCATTAACAACCTGCAATATGCAGATGATACAACCTTGCTTGCTGAAAGTGAAGAGGACTTAAAACATTTACTGATGAAGATCAAAGAGCACAGCCTTCGGTATGGATTACATCTCAATGTAAAGAAAACAAAAATCCTCACCACAGAACCAATAAACAACATTCTTATCAAAGGAGAAAAGACTGATGTTGTCAAGGACTTCATTCTTCTTGGATCAACTATCAACACTCACGGAAGCAGCAGCCAAGAAATCAAACAACGTATTGCATTATACAAATATGCTGCACTAGACCTTTTTAAAGTGTTGAAGAGCAAAGATGTCAACTTGAGGACTAAGGTGCTCCTGACCCAGGCCTTGGTATTTTTAATAACCTCACATGCATGTGAAAGCTGGACAGTGAATAAGGAAGACTGTCGAAGAATTGATGCTTTTGACTTATTGTGTTGGAGGAGAATATTAAAAGCGCCATGGGGTGCCAAAAGAACCAACAGATCCATTTTGGAAAAAGTGCAGCCAGAGTGCTCCTTGGAGTCTAGGATGGCCAAACTTTGTCTCCCATACTTTGGACATATTGTCAGGAGGGACCATTCACTAGAGAAGGATATCATGTTTGGTAAGTTGGAGGGTCAGAGAAAAAGAGGAAGATCCCCAATGAGATGGACTGTCAAAGTGGCAGCATTGATGTACTCAAGCATGTCAACAGCAGTGAGGTTGGCCCAGGATCAGGCAGTGTTTTGTTCTGCTGTACATAAGGCTGCTGAGGGTCAGTACTGACTCGATGGCACCTAACAACAACAAGCTGAGTTCTGATCATCAAGCCAGCAAGGCTAGGTCAAATGGGTACTATCTGTAACTTTGGGTGTTCTTATGTGACCCCTCTCACTTCATATCAGCTGGATGCTTCACTCTCAGCTCTAGATCTCTTTGGCTATGTCCTTATCCAGAGGCTCTGGTATCCCCAGGACTAACCATATTTTGGACCAACCAACCCTTTTTCTTCTCTCCCTCATCTCCAGGTCCATGGGAGTCTGTGGACCATGGTTGAACTCAGCTCATTTCTTCAATGCTACCTTTCCTCCTCTTGCAATAACCAGTAGACCAACATGGACACCAGCAAGCTTACATGCCTGCTCATGTGTTCCCTTTGAGTTTCCGTCTTAGAGGAGATCAAACCACTGATCTTTCAGTTAGTAGCCATGAATGGTATATAGGTGTAAATTGCAGTGGTGGTGCAATGATAGAATTCTCACCTTTCATTTAGAGACCTGAGTCTAAAGTACCACAAGCACAGCCACCAACCATCTGTGAAGACTTGTGTGTTATTATGATGCCAAACAGGTTTAAATGGAGTCCCCAGAATAAGAATAGGAACTAGTCCGGCAACCTTGTTCCAAAAATCAGCCAAGGATCACCACTATGGGTCACAAATTCTTGTGCATGGAGTTTCCAGGAGTCAGGTGCAAATTTAATGAGAGTCCTGGTGTGGCACTGAAGGATAAGCAACAGACTGCTAACTTTAAGGTCAGCAGTTCAAACCCACCAGCTGCTCTTTGGAAACCCTATACAGGATTGCTATGAGTTGGAACCAATCTGCCGGCGCTTAAGAACAATAACAACAAGGAGCAACCTAAAGCAAACTCCAAACTCACTGTCACTGAGTTGATTCAAA